GTAGGGATTGTATCTTCTTTGAAATTTGTTTTGTTTTAAATTTATCTTTTTGGCTTTTTTTTCTTCTTTTATTTACTTCATTTTTATTTATTTACTTATTTATCTTTCTTTAAATTTTTAGGCTGTCAATGTGGTTAAAGAGTGGGTGATTTGGTAATTTTGATGGGTTGTTGGGATCACTCGGGTATTACTGAAATGTAAGACAACATGGTGAAATCAGGCGCTCGTCCAAAACAATGACATCAAAGAAAACGGCATTTTTCTGGGCGTTATGTAATTTTTTTCCAGTATTCTTTTTTTGGCGCAACAACTTTTATGTCAATTTAAATACACATTTTTGTGTGGGTTTTACTGAAAAACATTGATTAAAGGAGGAAAAAATGTAAATTGTCAGTTTCTAAAGACTCTCAGGCTATGGAAGATATCAAACTTTGGCGGCCATTTTCTCGCTTATTCTGCCCCTGAAACCAATCGACCCTGACCTCCTTCAATCGCAAATGTTTCGACTTCTATTCAATATATGGATATTTGTTTCACTGAAAGGAAGGCAAATGAACAGGCTTTACGTTGATACTAATAACCCCATATGACCAAAGATTGACGAGCGCCTGATTTCACCTCCTCGTGACACAAATGGTATTCCCACTTGGAAATTCATGTCGGTGGGCGATAGCGAAAAATGTGAGGCAGCGTGGTGGAATCAGGTGCTCGTCAAAATAATCAAAGTGGAGAAACTTGCATTTTTCCGCTGGTTGGTAAATTTTTGTCAAATTTTTTTTGGGGCTCAACACCTTTCATGCCCATTAAAGAACTCATTTCTGTGTGCATTTTTCTGAAAAACTTTGATTAAAGGCACAAAAAAATTTAAATTTTCAGTTACCACTGACTCTTAAGCTAAGGAAATAACTGATCTTTGGAGGCCATTTTCTCACTTATTTTACCTCTGAAAACAAATGACCCCCACCTCCTTTTTTCGCAAGTATCTCGACCTGTATTCTAGATAAATGGATATTTTTTCATCCAAATAAAGACAAGTGAACAAGCTTTAAGGTGATACCAATAACTCTACATGCCTAAAAATTGACGAGAGCCTGATTCCACCACGATGCCTCACAAATAATCTCAGGGTGTCAAAAGTGGGCGTTGGCTGTACGAAGGTTTACAAGCGCTAGGTAGATCCATTTGTATGTTGATAGCTTGAATCCTAGTGACTTTGAGCCACTGGAGGTACTTCCCAAGACCATCTGATTCTGATTATCAGTATTATTCATTTCCATAATGTGTGTGTGAGTGTGTGTGAGTGAGTGTGTGTGTGTGTGTGAGTGTGTGTGTGTGTGTGTGTGTGTTTGTCTGTGTGTGTGGGTTTGTGCGTTTGTGAGTGCGTAATAACATATGTATGTCGTGTTTGTGGGTGTATAATATGCTTTGATGTAATAGTGTGTGAGAGAGGAAGAGAGACAGAGAGAGAGAGAGAGAGAGAAAGAGAAAGAGAGAGAGAGAGAGAGAGAGAGAGAGAGAGAGAGAGAGAGAGAGAAAGAAAAAGGATGAGTTCCGTTTCACTGCTCAGGT